TAAATATTGCGCATTTACAGCACAAGTGTGCATCTCCCGCAGCCATTGTTTGTTGGGAGGCCGTTTCTAGAATCAAAAACTTGTCGAGTCTCGGTGTGCTCGCTCACTGGAGGATCACGTGTGTGTCGGGCAATCGCCCGCGAAATGCGCTCTCCCCAGCAAGTAACCATCTTGGCAGACAAGCTCGTGGAGAGCTATTCTTCTTTCAATTCTTTTGCTACCCAGACAGTGCCACGGCCTTGCACCTGGGCTAGCACATGCATTTGTGTATGACAGCGCCTCGTTCATCTGTCAACCCAAATAAGCACCACATTATAAGACTAGCCAAGGAGCAAGGGAACCGTCATCAAGCAGCGTGGGTCAAGGAGCAAGCTGGAGAAAAAGACACACGTTGTCAAGTTGACTAGAAGGGCGCCTGTGTCGACGGTAGAATACTCAGCACACAAGCAAAACGGGAAGAGACACTAGAGAGATACACAGCTACATATAATTCCTCACTTCTAGGCAGGTACCCTCAGGTGCAGCTGGTACGAGGTGCTGGCCACTAGAGAGACGTGCTCGGGCATGGCGGCTTGGAGCGCGACCACCCCGGCATCGTCGCTGCTGTCCACGTGCTTGAAGCTGGCGGAGATGTCCAGGGCCTCGCCCCGCGGCGCGTCTGCCCAAAACTCCCAGACGTGCGTGCCCTCGGTCGCCGCAAAACGCGTGAGGAGCGAGGCCGAGCCGGCCGCGGTGGCGATAGGTGCAACGCCCTGGTCAAACGACCAGGCAATGACGTTGCCCGTCACGTTGAGCGAGCCCAGCGCGGCACGCAGCGTGTCGAGCCGCACGTGCCAGCGCACCGCGGCGGGGTCGGCGTGCGCGCCGGGCTCGGCGCGCAGGCTGGGCGCGGCGCTGCCCTCGGGCGGGCCCTCGGCCGGCGCCCAGTAGCCGTTCATGAGCTGGTCGAGCGGGTAGGCCCAGCTCCAGAGCTGCCGCTCGTTGGGCCGCGGCTGGACGGCCGCCAGGGGCCCGTGCGCGGTCAGCGGGCGCGCGGGGAAGCCGTCGAGCGCGGCCACGGCCCAGAGGGAGCGCTCGTAAGCCCAGCCGCCGTCGCCGTACACGTGCATGTGCTGGGCCATGACGCGCTTTGGCGCCCAGGCGGAGTAGGGGTTGGCCTGGTAAGCTGCGGTGGCGATGCCCGAGGCGGCGACGGAGACGCAGAGCAGGGTCAGCAGAGTAACGCGCGCAAAGCGCCGGCCGAGGGCGGCCACGACGTGCGGGGTCAGCGTGCCCAGGCAGCCGTAGACGGGGGCCGCCGCGGCCACGCCGACGGCCAGGTCGCCGACCAGGAGGCCCAGGCGGCCGGGCGCCGCGCCGGCCAGCCCGATCTTGTCGACCACGTAGAGCAGCGCCGTGGCGCAGACGGGCAGCGTGACCGCCACGGGCGCGGCTAAGGGCAGCACGGCCAGGGATGCCGACAGGGATCGTGGTCCGCTGCGCGGCAAGAGCAGCTGGTCGATGGCCCAGGAACACAATGTGGCCAGGCCCCAGAGGGCAAAGCCGTAGCCGCCAAAGACGCCGTGGCGCGCGAGCACCGCGGCGACGGCCGAAAAGGCCAGGCCCGAGCCGAGGGACTGGGCCCAGGCCTCGCCCGGCGCGCGCTGCCAGAGGACGTAGGGCAGGCAGAGCCCGATGAAGCTGGCGGGGAGGAAGATGGCGTACACGGCCCAGTACCGACCGTACCAGACCATGGGCGCGCCCGTGGCCCAGGCGCGCAGCGCGCCCAGCGCGGCCGGCAGGACGTGCGCCAGCATGACGGAGAGCGCGGCGCGGACGGCACCCTCCAGCAGCGCCAGCGGGCCGGGGGAAGGGGCTAGCCCTGGCAAGTCCCTCGCCGCGCGCGCGCTGGCGCCGCGTGCCGGCAGCAGCGCCGCCGCGATCGCGAGCGCGACGCCGATCGCGAGCGGGGCCTGGTGCAGCACGCGCGCAGGCTGTATGAGTAGACGACCATGACCATGCCGAGCAGGTCAAAGGCGACCAGGCCGCCGCCGGCCGGGGGCGCGGGCGCCTCGGGCGCGGCCAGGACGGCGGCAAAGGCGTGCGCGGCGGCGAGCGCGTTCTCGCCCATGGACTGGACCGTGCCGGCGCGCAGCCGCTCCGGCCTGTCCTGGCTGGTGTGGTAGGCGAGGCCGTCGAAAACCTGGGCCACGTCCACGCCCGGCAGCGTGCCGGCGCGGCGGTAGGCGAACAGCCGGTAGTCGGTGTCGGCCGGGATGAGGCCCAGGTCGAAAAAGTCCTGGAAGACGCTGTTGCCGCGTGGGTGCGGCGTCGCGGCCGCCCAGGCGCGCAGCGTCCAGTCGCGCGTGCTCTGGAAGAGCACGTCCGGGCCCCAGGGCCCCGTGCTCTCCAGGTTGATGAACGCGCCCAGGCCCGCGCTGTGCGCGCTGTGGTGCATGAAGCCGTGCGCGGCCTGCATCAGCGTCTCCTCCGCGCCGTTGAAGAGGAAGACGAGCGGCGCGGCCGGCGCGCGCGCGCCGTCGGCCACCACCGCGCGAGCCAGCTCAAGCATGGCGCCCACACACGAGGCCGCGTCCGAGGCGCCGGGGCTGCCCAGGCTGCTGTCAAAGTGGCTGTTGATCAGCACGCCCTTGGTAGTCGCTGCAGCGGCGACCGGCGCAATCTTCAAGATAATATTGGTCACGTTGGCGTACGCGTTGCCAAAGCTGTGCCCAAACGCCTCCAGCGTCATGCTCCCGCTCACGCGCTCCACAAACACGCCAACAGACAGGTCCGGGCGCGCGTGCGCCGCCGCGGCGGCCAGCGCCTCGCACTGGGCGCGCACGTAGGCGCCACCCAGCTCCAGGCCGCGAGAGCCCACCTGCCGGTCCCCGATCTTGCCGGCCAGCGCCAGCACGTGCCGCATGGCGCGCGCCTCCGAGAAGGCGGCCTCGGGCGCGGACGCGGGCAGAGGCGCCGGCACGCGCTGGAAGCAGTGCCAGGTCAGCAGCGACTGCAGAGTTGGTAGAGTGCGGGGGAAAAGGGAGTCGGGTGAGTGTTTATGAGGGGGGGTGGTTCAACAAAGCCCAGGAAAGGAACTTGCTAAAAGGACAGAGCCGCTCATCGAGCAACAAAGATATGACGCCATACTTTACATTCTGGACGCATACACAAAGCAACTCCGGAAGCCAAGGCAGCAATCCAAGGCGCACCCCCCTCCATCTGTCGCACCGTGAGACAGACGCACAGGAGACCGGGGACCCCGAGGAGCCGTGGCCCTCGCGAGGCCCTGCGCCCGGCTCCCTTTGATGCCATCGCATGCAATGCGCCAGCAGACACTCCTGGGTGCTCGGTCTAGAAGGCGTATGCGCAAGGCTCCTGTACGGTGGCACTGAAGTCGCTGCGCGACGTCAGGAGACCCTGCCGGCTCCGATTTGGCCGGCCAACCTTGATCGACTCACCCCGCTAGGCGAGCGACAATTCGAAGACGACCTGGTACATTCCTCGAGGAATTAAAAAATGGTCATTGCTCGGGATGATCACGTACGAAGAGTGCAGGAGGAGAGTGGGTAGCAGACTCGCTGCACCGCACGTGCCGCGACCGGGTCCTCATCATTACGAGAGCGGTCAATGGCCAAGGGCAACGCGTCCGTCATAGCGCTATTCCGAATGTGTCTCTTTGCATTGATGGAGTATAGTTACTAAAAACCTAAAGTTGTTATAAAATGATGTAGGGTCGTTCCTTTGTGACACAAATGTGCGGTACACGAGTGCTAATTCAAACAACTCATCATTGACCGCTTTAACAACGGTCAACTTGGCCCCCATGGCAGCGTCCATATCAAGAAAACTGTGCGCCGTCGCGTCGCAACTGCTCCACGAGCGCATCCACGATCTGCTCGAGAGGAGGAAAGGGCGTTCCCTGCGCGTGAAAGTACCATTCGCCCTCGTCATACTCGAGCAGATCAAGCTGGGACTGAAGAAGGGACGGCGGCATAAAGTGGTTGGCCGCCTTCTGGCGCCTGGCCACCCTTTCCTTGAGCACCGCCGCGCTGGGCTCCAGGAGCACAAACACTGGTCGGGTGCCCGTGCGCTCCAGCTGCCCGCTCAGAAACTGCCGGTACCGAGGCTGGAGCGCGGAGCACGCCGTGACCACCATGCTGTGCACGCTGAGCTCCTCTGCCATGGCGTCGCTGAGCCGCTGCAGCCAGGGCCACCTGTCCTCATCGGACAATGGTGTCCCCGACCTCATCTTGGCTGCGGGTGATGGAGGGCAGGAGGGCGTGCTGGTAGTGTGTGGGCGTTTTACCGGACGTGTTGTGGTCATCGTTGCTCATCGCCAAGAAGCCTCTCTTGACCACGAATACCATCTCAGGACCTAATACATTGAGTGACTGTCACCCTACTAATTGTTTATGCATCCTCGCAAGGACTCCCTACCTTTATTCACGGCGGGATGGTACTCATCACCCTCTAAGAACCGGCAGTGCAGGCGGCTCGCCAGCATGGCGCCCGCCGAGCTGTGATATCGAGATCGCATGTCCAGAATCATTCATGATAGTATATACAAAATATGTTTGTTAATATTGCGGGCTCACAGAGCTCACCTTTTACCACAGCCCGACACACCACACATGACCACGGCCCGGGGGGCCTGGTGGGGAGGGGAGGACGGACCCACCGGGCCCGTCGCGGCCAACATCCTGGACTGCTATGCGACGTTTATGGATGTAAAGTGTATGTTGGGTTACATGGGCGTGCGAGGGGCTGTGTATAAGGGTCCTGCTTGGGGCGGGTGTATGCGATGCGCCTGGTAGCCGGGCGTGTTGGGCCACTGCCAAAGGCTGGGCGACCCGCCCAAGGCATGACGCGCCACATAGGTGCGTCATATACTCCCGTGCGATTACATTTTCCTAAGATTATTTATCATTGCTACTTTATCAATCATATTTGGAAGTGTGTATGCCTCGAAAGCAAAAAAATGGCAATTATTTCGTCAAAATATTAAAAAGGAAAGTTTCCACCCCAGCCAGGATTCGAACCTGGGACCTTGAACTGGTTCCACTTTAACCGTGGACGGGTAGCTAGTAGGAAATTCACGCGCTATCCACTGCGCTACAGGGGCACGCCTGGTGCAACCCAGGGTGATGGGGAAAGCTATCCAGATTGCAATAAAATCTGGGTTATAACAGAATGTGTGCGTTGAAAGATTTAATTATTGATTGATTGAGTGGGCTGGGTTGGGTTGAAGCAGGATGAAAGGAATGGAATTTGATAGAGTTGACTTTCTTATCATCTATATAATTATTGTTCGAGTGTTGTGAATTCGATTTCCAATCTCGGCGTGATTGTGTGCGTGTGTTGAGACGGCATTCGAGCGCCTGGGGTGCTGCACAAAGGTGGAAAAAATAAGCAAGAGCTGCCTTTGCCGGCAGCTTGTGAGATCAGGATCTGCCAAGTACCCCAAGACCCAAGCGAGCGCATGCTGCTCCATTTCAAGCAGGCGCCATCATTATCAGACAAGCAAGTTTACTATCAGCATTCAGTGCGCTCGGCGTGCAGGAGAGGGATTTTGTCAGCGCAGGACAATCGGCCAGCAGTGTCCTTCCAGCACTCCTTCAACCCCCTCCAAGACATCAGCGCCTGGTCGTCAGACTCCTGCTGCGCTCGCGGGAGATCTCGGCGACGGCCTCGCGGACCTCCTCCTCGTCCAGCAGCGCGGACTCGAGCTGCGCGGCGCCCATGGAGAGCCGCCCCGACCGCGCGCGGCCGAGCACGTTGGCGCGCGCCTTGTCCTTCGGGTAGGTCACGTGGAGGCCTGTGAAGAGCAGGCCGCAGAGCGTCCATGGCACGACGGTGCAGATGACGATGGCGCTGCCGAGCGCGACGGCGCGGTCGTGGTCGGTGCTGGGCGTGTCCGGGTCGGTGCTGAAGCCCAGGTGCTCGGCCAGCCAGCCGACGATGGGCGCGCCCGTGGCGGCGATGGCGCCCTCGAAGGCGCGGTCGAAGGAGTAGACGATCGCGCGCAGCTGCGGCGGCACGACCTCGGCGAAGATGGGACTGTTGCAGGCGGGCGCGACCCAGGAGATGAGCAGGCCCCAGATGAACACTGCCACGCTGTAGATCACCACGTACGTCTGCCCCGTGCGCATGGGCAGGACCTTGAAGATGAAGAAGGAAAAGGGCACGCCGATGAAGACGGAGAACTGGGCCACCAGGATGCGGCCGTGGCGCGGCGAGCGCCGCGCGGCGACGTCGCCCAGCCAGCCGCCGAGCTGGCCGCCGATGGCGGTGCCGGTCAGGAAGAGCGCCGCGATGAGCGAGGCCTGGAAGTCGGTCATGCCCATGAGCTGCATGTAGAGCGTGGTGAAGACCAGCGCGTTCCAGGGCGCCGAGCCGACGATGCCCTGCGCGACCACGATGGCAAAGGACGGCACCGTGATGACGGAGAGGATGTCCTGCGCCGCGCGGTGCAGGCTGCCGCCCTCGTGCTTGAGCACGTCCGGCTCTTGTTGGTATTCAGGGTCCTCGGCCTTGAAGCGGGGGTCCACGCTCGCGAAAAAGTTCAAAACACCAATCAGGAGCGAGACCACGCCGACCGAGATGACGGCAAACTGCCAGCCCTCGAGGCCCAGCGGGCGCGTGTGCGCGATGTTGGTCGCGTACAGCGCGCCCAGCGTGCCGCCCATGGCGCCGGTGAGGTAGAGCGCGCCAAAGGCGCGGCCGCGGCTGTACTCGCTGAAGTAGTCGGCGATGAGCGACTGGGCGTTGGGGATGAGCAGGCCCAGGCCCAGCCCGTTCCAGGCCCACACCGCGATGCCCGCGCGGACGGTGTGTGTAAACGCAAACACGATGCACATGGTGCCCCAGATAAAGGCGCCCACGCTCATCACGTGCACGCGGTTGTAAAAGTGGCCCAGCAGGCCGCCCACGGGCGCGCACACCGCCTGCACCAGCGCGCAGGCGAGGGTCATGTAGCCCAGCTGCTGCGGCGAGGCGTGAAAGGTCTTGCCCACGTAGCGGTACAGCGCGGGCAGCGTCTGCTCGTTGCAGCGCTCCAGGATGCTGGCAAGGTTGACGACCACCGTCGTGCGAGCGCGCTGGTCCGTCAGCGACCTCAGGTTGCCTGGGGGGTGATGGAGGGGGGGATTGATTGGGGAGAGGTTTGGAAGAGACGGCGTGGGTCACATGGGGTGAGAATAAATGTTGAAAAGTGTGTCCGTGTGATGTGAATGGATCATGGGGACCCAACTGGAAGTTGACCGCATTGACCAATGCGCCCATACACCCTCCAGAGAGCATGTTGGCACACGCTGGCCGGACAGACAACATTTTCGGACCTTCAATCACCACAACCATTCCATTCAATCAACAATACAATCGTACGCTCCGCATAGCTCAACCTCTATGAAAAGTCCCAACAACTAGACGGTGCTGCAGCGACCCCCCAGCTCTCGCCACCCACCCACCGTGCTTATCGCGCAACACCCCGCCCCTGATCTTGGGCTGCGGCGAGTCGCCATCCTGGGCAAACGCCGATTCGGGCAGCAGGGGCTCCGTGCCCTGCTCCGCGTCCTCGGGAGGGAGGTCGCGGAACCCTACGCTCCGCCCCTGGCCACGCTCCATGGTGCCCTGCAGCGCCGTGGGCGACTGGTTCCCGCTGTACGATATGGGACGAAGCGAACGGCTCCCTCTGGCCATGCAATTTGGTAAAAACAATCGGGAAGTCGGCGGGGAGCAAGATACATGCGTGAGGGGGCGGCGCAGGTGGCTCTTGGGGCTGGATTCTCCCCTATGGCATCTGCGAGGTGCCTGACAGCTTCCTCCGGTCATACTGGGCCGCCAGGTCTATGCCCGTGGGCTGGGCCATTCCAAGCGCGTCGCGCGCATACAGTCGAGTTCAAGGGACAAAATCATCGCAATTGTACTATTTGGGCATGGCTAGAGCATGGCGTTTGCCGTGGTTTAGAAATTTCACTGCGCAATGCCAGATCGACACACTTTGTTTTCCATGGGGTCCCTCTTGATCAAGGGCGTCGGCAGGGAAACACTCGTAGTCATAGACCGAGGATGTACCCAGCACGCGCATGCAAGCACTAAAATGCATACTATGCCGTTATCATGTGGCTATCAATGCGCATCAATCGCTTGAAAACAACGATCTGCTCACTCCTGTCGCCAGACCTCTGCCCAGGCCCAATTCTGATGATCCACTTCTGGCCCGATGATCAACCTTCGCTCCTCAAACTCGCCATGCATTCTGCTCTTCTGATTGTGACCATTGAAATAAATCACATCATAGGCGCACACACCGTATTATCGCGCCCGCCCATGACAGACGACCCACGCAGCTTCGAGGATGGGCAGGCCAGCACCGGAAAGACGAAGAATCTCCCATATCGTCCCGCCACCCGAGCGCAAGGCTCATCGTGCAGACACTCCCGATCCCCCGGCAGTAGATGCCTGTGCCGCATTGCGTCGATGGACCAAAATCGGTAGCTCGCAGCTCTATCCAGCTCGATAAAGGGGAGTCCCTGCGCCAGCCAGGGGTGCCTCGCCGCAGCGGTGTCTGGCTGCCGCTGAAGGAGCTCGCGTCCTGTTGGACAGGCCGGCTTGCTCTGCGCTATGAGCACGACACCATACACGACGTAAGGCCGACTGGGTTTGCGAATTGCCTGATTGATAGCCCGGGACGAGGCGCAATGGGTCGACACATGGGAAGCCCGGGCGCCAACGCTCGTGCTCCGACCATTGCCGCATCGCAGTGACGAAGAGGCCTTTCTGTCCGATCCGCCCTCTGACCTGGACACTGCCACCCGGAGCGACGATGTGCGTGGATGTTGGCAGGGCCTGGGGTTGGTGGCTGCCTTCCGGGATGCGTGCATGGATGCCGGGACCCGAAGTGGTGTTCGGATGTGGCCGCCAGTTTGTTTATGGAGTTTGATTGCTGATTACTTGTGCATCGAGTGCGTTGGCATTAGATGGCTCTCGTCCTCACCTTGTTCATGATCAACTGCATAGGACTATGAGTACCACCCAGCCCAGTCGGGGTCGGTGGTGAGCTCCGCTTCGCCCATCAACGTCAAACTCCGGTTTGCCGGCGACAGCTCCGTGGGCGTCTCCATCGAGGTCGCCAACGAAGGTGCGCTGGTAAAGGGTCGTTGCATATGGCGAATGAGGAATGTTGAGTTTAGGGGACTGTTCTTGCTGTTCTGGAAGGCGCGTGTCAAGTGGCTGCTTATGAGAGCAGGAGGCATGGCTGGTACATGGCGACGGTATGATGCCCACCCCTCTTTTCCAAATGCAGCCACCTCTAAGCCAGCGGACGAGGCACAGTTTGCTCAGACAGAAGCGGACAGCGCATCGCACTCGCGAGCGGAAGAAGCAGCAGCTGTAGAAGAAGCAGAGGAGGAAGAAGAGGTAGCGGAGAATCTCGAGGGCGTCCCGGACAGTACCCCCTGCCCGATCGACGTCGGGGCAATCCTCCGCAAGGTGGTGGAGGAGGCAGCGCCGCGCGCGTCTGCCGCCGCAAAGCGCCCGGTGGGTCTGGGCCTGGGCCTGTCTGGAGGGCTCAAGCCCCTGCCCAGCAGGAGCGCGCCGGAGCCTCGGCCGCGCGAACCCGCGATCGTCAAGGAGCCCGCAGAGAGCGCGCCCTCGCACCCGGCCCCCGCTCGCCAGGAGAACGGCCACGCGGGCGCCCCCAAGGGCCTAGGCCTCGCGCTGCCCGGCAAGAGCGGCGCGCAGGGTCCGCGCCCGAGCCAGCCGCGCGGACAGCGAGTCGCCCGTGGCCGCCGCGAGCCCGCAGTGGCCGCCCAACGGCAAGGTTACCGCGCAGGTGAGCCCGACCGACGTGATCAGCGAGGCTCTGCGGAGCGCGCAGGAGGGCGAGAGTGCCAAGGCGCCCACGCCGGCGCGGCCGATCGTCGACCCAGACGTCGCGGCGCGGATGGCGGCGGTGCGCGAGGCGGAGCTGGCGGCGGCGGCCGCGGCGGCGGCCGACCCCAAGCTGCAGAAGCTGCGGGCCTCGGTGCACGGGTTCCGGGTGACCATGCACCGCGTGGCGGCGCGCCTGGGCGTCGCGCCGCGGGCGGCGGTGTTGCAGCAGGCGCTCTACCGCCTGAGCAT